AATGAGTGGGTTAATTTGAGAGAAGATGACTGAGTGAATAACTTTCTGTTGAATGTAGCTTTCCAAACTGAGATTGGGAGAAACTCAGGCATAAGTTCTGTGGCATGACTGCGAATGACCTCACATCATTCTGAGGTCATTTTTCAATAAAACACCAAACTATGAAACATTTGTCAACAAACACTAACTGTTCACTTTTGTAGGCACATCCATTTATTACTAACGCTGTCTAACACAGCAGTCGTTGGTTGTGATACTTTTGATTTTTTTGCTTCACAACCATTCTGAAGGCTACAGCTCGTATCTTCCAACACGATCAGGTGTTATAATGTTTTGTGAAACCCATCTTTATCCCTAAGAATAATAGCTCACTATAGCTTACTGAATAGCATTCATCATTCATTATAATGGTATGCTCTAACTGTAAATGCCCTCTCAGAAACAGCCAGCAGCACTTAAGCACATGCTTTTCTTACCTCTTTAAAGTCCTTGACAGTTTTGAAATACAGCCTCTGCTTGTCAAGGAGCTCCAGGTACTCATCATTCAGCTGATCTCGCCTCATCTTGTTCTCCTGCTTCTTTTTCTCCATCTGAAAAAGCAGAGAAACACATGCCAGTACTGCAGGAGTCTGTCTCGAAACAGGACAAACTTTGCATCATTAGGCTGTGACATGCGGGTCCATATACCCTGAGCTCGTTATCTTATCTGTAGTCAGCATTATCAAAAACAGGCTGTCATTTATTTACTGACACTGACCACGAAATCTGTCATTTGGTTCCATCCCTATAACGCACGTTTCTAAAGAGAAGAGCAGCAGAATTCCCCTTTTACAGAAAGACTTGTACCTTGATGCGATTCTGTTTGATTCCCTCGACTATCTGCTCCATCTGTTTGAGGAACTGCTCTTTGGCAGCTGAGGACGACATGGCTCTGAACAAGAGTAGAGGACGTTAGCACCATTTCACTGCAATGAGCTAAGAAACGTGCTGATAGAAAACTAATCACTGGAACAACATCAGTGTTAGACGTGACAAATGAGCAGAATTATACTTACTGTTGGAAGTTGTCATGAATAGAATTCAAGAGGTTCACCTGCAGAAATTAAAATTTTGTTATGAATAGCATTAAGTACGAGTCTATTTGTGACACTTAATCAGTCACATATCTCAAGTGAAACAAAAGCCAAATGCTATCAGAAATTTTACTGGCAATCATTTCGCGCCCTGCTGACAGGGGTCTGCTGTGGTTACTTACCTCCTTCTCAAGATAGACTTTCTTATCATCCAATGTATTATACAGAGTGAAGAACTGCTTAGTCTCTTTGTGAGTAGCAGAAACTGAAAGGCACAAAAAGAACAAGCATTTATTTATAACTCCTGGTTTTTATGGGATTCATTTGTGACCTGCACACAGCAACAACACTGGTCAAAGCAGATGAACAGGAGGAAATTACCTTGACTGTAGAGTTCAATGAATCTCTTCTGATACTGTGTCAGCTCAGCTCGGCTCGGCACCTCATCAATCTTCCTCTGCATGATGGCAATCTCTCGGTTCCTTCGAGCCTGTGAAGAGTGAAGCGATATATACATATATGAATGAGTGAATACGTTCCTGATGTAGTTATCATCTATCTTCTACCTACATCTATCACTAAACAAGACTTTTTGTCCATCACTAAATGCGGTTGATTAGTGATCGCCAGTTGGTCCATCTGTAACTTGAAGTCTCCCCTGCTTCTAAAAACACATGTGAATTCCAGCGTAGTACTATGATAGGATGCCACCTGTGCAACAAGTCCAGTCGTGATGTTTCCTTACTACTAAATATTCCACGGTCAACTATTGTTGGTTTATAACAAATAGGAAGCCACTGGGAAGGACAGCAACGCAGCCAGGAAGTGGTAGGCCATGTAAAAGTCAAGAGCTTCGCGGAATGGGTTTCCATAGTCGAGCAGCTGCATCCAAGCCTTACATCAAGTGCAATACAAAGCCTCGGATGCAGCTGCTTGGTCATGGAAACCCATTCCATGAAGCTCTTGTCCAGGTTTGGGGGTTGCCAAGTGTAAAGTTTTATGAGGATTATGACGTGGGGTTATTTTTCAGGAGTTGAGCACATACCCTTAGCTCCAGTGAAAGGAGACTTTTTGGATAATTTCATTCTCCTAACTTTGTGGGAAAAGTTTGGGAGAATGCCCCACATGCCATCCCAGCCTACCTTCAAGCTTGCGCGAAAAATATATGAGTGAAGCCTTACAGACTCAGCTGTGGCCCGGATTAACAAGGTATGTGTCCGTTATTGAGGAACCAGTATTGAGAAGTGGGCTAATGGAGCAAGAAGGCACAAG